AGTCCTCAAGTTACAATGGGGACTGGGACTGGGATTTCTGACAGTAAGTGACGTGGTCATAAAGAGCAATGTCACATGATCACATCACTTAGTGACTGAAACCCTGGCAGTCCCAGTTGCCATCGTAACTCCAGGACTGCATGGGACGTTAAGTGAGGACCTCACATGACTGCGATGTGGGAAGAGGCAGGAGTCCCAAACAAGCAGGCCAGCAGGTGAGAGCTATGGGTCACGGGGTGGGTGCCGCAGACAGATGCCAGGGAGTGCAAAGCTTGCCACAGTGCAGGGCTTGAGGCAGCATTCTCTGGCACACCCTTCAACAGTCTCAGCCTGGTACCACATCCCCTGGGCCTCTACCTCAGACCCAGCCCCAGCTAGAGTGCCACCTGCACCAGGTGGTAGTCGTAAATGCAGGCAGGCCCAATTTTTTATCACATGACCATGGGGACACTGCAACAGCCAGAACTTTGAGGATTGGTCATAAGTCCATTTCTTCAGCACCATCGTAACTTTGGTCGCTGAACAAATGAATGTAACTTGAGGATTACCTGTACCAATCTTGTCACCCTATCACAAATCCTGGAATCTGCTCTAAACAAAAGTCGAAAGTTCAGTTGAAACTAGATCACAGTGGGTTCAGAATGTAAGACTGACAAATCTTCCATATAAAGAATTATCTTAGAACAGAATGGTATTTCTTGATAATAAAAGATTATAAAATATGGTCCTGGTTGCTTTGCCCAGAAAATTGAAGACATAAGGAGAAATAACTTGATAGCTTTCTAGAGTACAGATGATGGGTGAAAGTATAAATGCTTAGTGATTATTGTTTCCTTACTTAACTTTTCCTCCATTATTTTTAATATTGCTAATACAGTACACAGATAGTAAAAACAGTTTTCAAGGCTTTACTAGTGGCATCACTTTCAATCCTAACTTACTGGTCATAGTACTTCTGCTTAGAGCTAGGTTGTTGTGACACAGTTCTGTATTACAAAACAATTACAATAAATATAAAACTAAATAAGCATTTGCATATATAAAAATGTGGGAGAATTGTCACCCTTAAACCACAACCGTCTACATTAAGTTCTATTAAAAAGGTGTCAGCAAAAATTAAATTCTTCTTTAGATGTTTAAATGCCAATACTTTTAATATAACTTTTTTTTCCTCTGCTGTGCCTGGACAAGCAGGGTTTGTGGAAAGCACTATCCCATCAGAGCTGTGGCTTTGCCTGTGCATGCAGAGCATGATTCCTGTCAAATGCACTCCCGGCTTTTCCTCCCACAGTGCCTGGATAAGCAGGAAAATGTGAGGTTTGGCTTTAGCTGCCAAGTATACAGCAATCTGGTAGCCAGTTTTCAGGAGCCAGACTGGCCTGCCTAGATAACAGCTCTGCACTGGCTCTTCTTTCCTTCTTTGGAGAAAATAGCAGTGCCACCCCCACAGCACCTTGCTCTTGCGTTGGATTGTTGAATTAGACCTCGTCCTGGCAATTTAGACTGGAAGCAGTTAATCCAACAAACAAGTCTCTTGGAGCTTTGGTTGGGAAGATTTACTAGAAGGCTAAGGCACTAGAATTCCAGCAAGTACTCTACTATGAAATGAGACACGGACATATAAGCAGGCTAAAGCAATGACAGTCTAGCCCATTTTTTCATGCTTTTTCAGTGCAAAGAGGAGGAGGCTTGTCACTTTTGTGAAGGCAGAGCAGTTACTATCAATTGTTTTGGAAACTGCTGCTAGACCTCTCCTTAGTGTGAGAAATTAGTCTCCCAAGTTATTTTAACTGCTCCTGTAACCGTACAAGTTAACAGGGGATACAGCATGGCAATATATCAGTACAATGTCTTATTACATTCATTATTTTAAGGAAAATATTTGATTGATTTTTTTTTTTACTTTTTCCATTTTTGCAATTTTGTCAGAAAAACAGAAAATAGTTCTAAGGGGGAAAAGGCATATTTTCTTAATTTTTCCAGTTTTTGTCATCCTATGTCAGAGTTGGCATTTAAGTTTTCTGTTTCTGAATCAGGACCAAACCCTGCATGTCTATTATTGACCTCAAAGTAGCCAATCTTGAGGAAAAGAAATATAAGACCAGTATCATCACAAAAGAGACATTGGAAGATTTAGCACTTCTCTTGATTCAACAAAGACAAAGGTTTCTTTTCACACTTAACCAGCTCATCAATGCAAGAATCTCTGTGTTACACAACATGATTCCTTCCCTCACTCCCAACAGAAGTTGATATATATTGAATATATAGCACATAATATTTCATTCTCTGGATGGCATGCATCTGTTTAAAATGACTGTGATCCATGAATATTTAAGCAACATTAAATAGCAAGATTTAATTAAACATTAAATGACAATAAATCTTTAAAGTGCCACAGCAGAACTGAGTCTTTTATTATTACTTTGTGTGTGAGTAATATCTCTGAAATAAACACAAGAATATTCCAATGCCCTAATGAAGGTTTTCATTTTAACTGTAAGTCACTTGGAGTCATCCAAATAAATGGCATACAAATAATTGTCATACATTATAAAATAATAAATTGTGAAAAAGGGCAAGTTCCACAGTATATTGAGACAAATATCACCTGTGGGTTGGTTGGGTTTGTTTTTTTAATGCCATAAGGAGAAAAGAATTCTTTCACATGTAAAATTTAACCAGCACAAGTTTCTGTTGTAGGCAGGGGCATCCACAAAGAGAAGTCAAAAAAGTCAAGCTGGTGGCCCCAGCCACACAACTGAAGCCCTACCCCTTTTGTATGTGCATGTAAAAGGGGCAGGGCTTCAATTGTGTGGCTGTGGCTACCAATTTGACTTTTTTGACACCTCCCCGCTCCCCACGCTCTTGCGGTGCAGGGTAAGAAAAGTGCACCTGCTGATATCCTTAGTAGGCACTAAGGAGGAACAGGCCACCTTTGGCAGCTGAATGTCTAAGCGCTCTGCCTAGGAGAGAAATGTCTCCCAGATTACATAAAAATTGCCCAGTGCCGCTGAAGAAAAAAACCCTCTCACATACGCCGTAGTATTAGCAAAACAGAAAAATACTTCAAGAGAAAACTGTTCTAGACCTCCTCATTCTTCTTTCCCCTAAACTCCATTCTCGCCGGCCAACGGGCAAGGAAGGCAGCCCAGGCCGATGAAACAATCCTCCTCACCTTCCACGTGAGAACGCCCGCTGAAGTTCCCGCAGCCCTGGGGGGCGCTGCCTGGGCCGCGGCCGGTCCTTCCAGGCAGCCGCGCTAGGCTCGAGCGTGCGTGAGGAGGGAGGAAAGGGCTCCTAGAACTGCTGCCCTGCAGAACGGCCGCGACCCGCCCCCCGGGGAAGTGGAAAGGCTCGTGCAGGCTGCAGACAAAGCGAGGAAGG